TGAAGCAAACTACATACCGGTTACATCAGAGCACGTCAGCGACGGGACCTGAATCGAGAAGTTCGAGCGGCTGAGCTCACGGGAATTATGGCCAGACTAGCAGGCGTTACAAGACTTGTTACATCATTAATGAAAAAGACTTACTCTGTATCTCAGGGCGCGACTTCCGAGCTCCCCCGGCAGCTCTTTTCAACGTTACACGCGCAATCATTTACAGGTGGCGAAAGGAGAAGAAAATAAAAGGAGGAGGAGGCCAAAGATACACCAAATAAGTATTTCCCCCCACGGATACTCTTCCCTGAGCTGAAAACTCGGTACATTGCTGTATATCGTTTACAATTTTTTTTTATCGCTTTTAATTTGTATTTTTCTACGGGCTACTCGACTGGATCAGGTTGATGCGACATACTAAGGGCCTTATTGGGAAGTTTGATTCTAAGTTCTCAGCATCAAGGACACACTGTGCTCTCCTGGGCAGTTCGCTTTCTAAGGCAAAACAACCTTGGAGTGCGTCGTATCACACACAAGGGAACTAAGCGCAGAGCAGACATACATGTATACTTTGTTTTTAAAATAATTGCAGTTAAAACTGACCAATTAGAATTGTATTTTGTAAAATAGGAAATTGCCGGCGTGTTTTCTCGGACAATGCATGTGAAGTCGAAGGTGATGTTGTTTTTCGTCGTCTATTTTTAGTCTTTTTAACATGGATCAGACGGGTGTTTGCCTCGACAATCCCTGTTGGTTGACGATCGACGTTCATGGAGCGAAGCACGTCGACGTTGTCCAAGGTATGAGTGAAAACGGAGCTCGATGCAGTAATTTTCTCTGTGCTTCTGCACTGGGGGAAAAGTTTCCCGCACTCGTGGTTTTCTTTGGTGTGCCTGGTGCCGATGTCTACACAGAGGTGTCCGACCCGAACTGGGGGCACCCCAATGTTGTACACACCACGCAGCGGAAGGCGTGATGCGACCATGCCACAATGACGAAATTTGGACCGAAGAGGTGGTAAAAAATATTTTTTTACCTTATAAATATCGTGAATTTATAAACTTAATTTGTTTGCGGTTTTGTTTTCTTAGGTTTGGACACCTTCGGCTGACGGATGCCGCATGCTCATGCT